AGTGCAATAGTATTGGAAACTGCAAAATCAGAATGCTACAAGTCAGTCACAAATGCATAAACAATCGTGGGAAAAAGAACAGTTGTTAAATTTTTCTTCCCCTTGTACGTCCACGTTTTTTGCACGATGGCCGTTTAATCAGTCCTCTTTTGTCATCAGCTATGAAGATAGATCATTCAAAACTAGCGACAATTCAGGGAATTTAGAGACCAAAAGAAGAACACAGTCTTATATCTGAATAAGAAGAAGATCAAAGAACATTACTCTCACAGTGATGTGAATAGTGCTATCCCTGATAAGATGCGCTCATGAAGTGTTTCGTTTTCTCTTGCAGGGGCGTAGTTACACGCATCAATCATGAAAACACAGCAACAAAAATACAAAAAAAAAAACTAAAAACTGAAGCCAAAACTGTCAAAAGGCATTTTCTGTAGAAAAAAGGCATTTTTGGTCACTCAAACTTAACTCAATCTTGACTCAAACTCAACTCTTTAATCAACTCAAACTCGTATCAACTCGATAAATAGCCGATCCCGGCTGCCAAAATGGCATGAAACGTTCCGCCTAATGTATATGAAGCATCTATGTATTACTGTGGGACTTGACATTGCCTAAATTAGACGTATTTTGGCTAAGACATTTGTTGGAGGATTGATTCGTGTCCCCCCGAACCTGACAGTTAAGTCAAAGAGGTCCAATTAGACTCACGTACTCAGTGAATTTTGCGTTCCCAAAAATTCGTTTCATATGTTGCCCAGAGTTTTGAAAGAAGCTTAGAGATTGCTTTTTCATGTGGAACGTCTTTTTCTGTTTGAAATCATGTATCGGATGTGATTTTAGACTTTGAAATTTAACAGTATTTTGCTCGGGTGAAAGTCTTTAAATTTTGTAAATATTTACAAATGCATAGAATATTTCATCTGTGATCAATTCAAGAACATGACCTCTCAACATGTGTATTAAAACCCTTTTAATACGATAAGAGCTTTTGGGGTTGAGTGATAATTGAATTCGATTGAAATCGCCGTCTTTTCGACACCCGGTCCAGGGGCCCGAAAAAGCGGTCTGGCGGAGGCCGTTTATCGCCAGCACTTAACATTCGCCGTATCGCCAAAATATTTATCAATAAACCTGAAATTTATATGTTCGTTACTAGAATACCTAGGGTAGTCTACATTATTTTTTGGGACTTTTTTAAAATTTTATTTTTCCTACCTTCGGTCGATATTTACAGACATCCACTCTTAATTGCCCTCGGGCCCATGTGATTACATATACATAAGAAAGGGGAACAGGTTGTTAGATTCGCAGCGCCTCTTTTCGTTTGGCCAAAAATCGCGAATTTTGTAAATTTTTCAGTTTTCGCAAGGCCATCGCGAAGAATCGTTAATTTTGTAAGTCCTAGACCTAACTGAACAAGCTTGGCCAATAACACTTTCACAGTATATCATAAAACTTTACAGGTGACTGATATAAAGGAACTCAACGCTTTTTTATTGTGAAAAGGGCATATCTCATTTTTATATATTTTTAAAAAGTTTAATGAAATTACACCAACCCCACACGCCATCTAAAATTAGAATCGTATTCTAAGGTTGATTTTTTACACAGTATTTGTGATTCGATAATGTCTGGTTTTGTTCGCTCCCATAAAAGAGAGTTATTTTTAATGAAGGACGTGCGGTTTAGAAAATATTGTATTTACGATAATTGACCGTCAAGTTATTCCGAGGTAAGGTGTGTCTTGACTTTCTAAACTACTGACTGGACTGAACAGAAAAAAACTTCGATTTTTTTTCTTCTTCAGCGAAATTAATTGTAAAGGTTTAATAGTTAGTTTTGTTTATTGAATCAAGGCTTGGTTGAATAGGAAATAACATCTCGACAGCGTCCATCAAAATATCTTGGAACTCTGATCATTTTTCTTTGAACTACCAGGAATGCGTTGATTTCTCTGGCCCTAGAGGTCCATTCTCAAAATATCTATTTTACTCACGGTTTGATGAAGTTTTCTACGGCGCGTTGAGCCTCACTGTCGCGAGTTCGTCGCGCGGTATAAATAACGAGCGATATTCTTCGCCCCAGTAATAGTAGAATATATGGAAAAGAACCTTGATATATAAAGTAAACATATTTATAACGATCATATTTACATGGCAGTCCCTTAGTCATTCATTGTATTAAGGTTCCCCTGTACTTGGTGTCACCAAACTTTTGCGAATATGCCGTTTAAAAGCGAGCAGAACAGATAAATCAAAATGACTGAAAAGGCCAGTTCATGAACTTTGGCAAGAAAAAAAAACTCAACAGAGAAGGACCCCGCATTATTTGAAATGTAGTTTTCAGTTCATAACCAACCCGCGCTTGCTTCAAACATGACTCTCTGAGCATGGACGTTACTTAACCAACAACTAAATAAATGGTCGATATAGCTTGAAAGGGAGGAAATTATGCTGTCACAAGCACCTGCAACGCGGATCAATGCGTTCGTTTCAAATATCTATTGGGGTGCCATAAATTTCGTATGCAGGCAATTGCATAGAAAAACTGTCAAAGTTAATTTTAAAGAAGGACTGAAATTGCAAATTCTTCGTATCTACTTCCTATATATTCTTGTTGTCATACATCACCGCCTAAATATTTATTATGATGATCACGGATTAATTTTGTTTTACAAAAGAGCCTTGAGCAGGGCAAACATAACGGTCTTCGAACTTACCGTTAGGTGTGAACAATAGGGTAAGCCCACAGACGAGAAAAAACAGCATTTTGTTCTATTTTTTGGCTAAATTCTCGAGATTGTCTTGAACTTCAGTCATGCACCGTCACTCCCTTTGCTAGATATTAACTAAATGCGTTTTCTTCTTAATGGTCACAATGTACATCCCGTAAATGATCTAATAAACGCCGGGGGCGTTTATTAAATTTCAAGGGTCCAAGGGGGGGCGTTTAAAAGATAAGAGGCGATATTAACTAAATGCGTTTTCTTCTTAAGGGTCACAATGTACATCCCGTAAATGATCTAATAAACGCCGGGGGCGTTTATTAAATTTCAAGGGTCCAAGGGGGGCCCTTTAAAAGACAAGAGGCGTTTAAAAGAAAGAAGTGTTTATTCTAATAACTGTAACATGGTAACCTAGATACGGTATTATAATAATCTAAATGACAGAGCTTTAGCAGTCTATCAAGTCCGTCCGCTGATAAGTCTAAACCGTCTACAAATCTATAACGGTATATGGTACTGGTAGTTCTTACAGCTCAATGTCAACATCCGAGTCCTCGTCGAGCACCATGTTATTTTCATCGCCGGCTACTTCTATGTCTGAGTTAGTTATTTCTTGAAATGGGTCTGGAAGAGTCGGCTCATCAAGCACGGAAAGTTGTGCCTTCAACTGCGCTGCTCCTGCTTCGCATGGGTGGCCCTTCTTGAAACAATGGATCTCTGAATCTTGAGAGCCATCAACGGCTAGATTTAATGCGCAGGACTTAAATGACTTTGTAATTACCTCAGTGGGGAGCCATGCCCAAGCGGTCAACACCCATTCTACAATGGTCTTTCTCGGTGGCGGTCGCATGTCTCCCGCTTCCGTAAATTCTTGGACGCCACTAGCCATCCACTCATCATACTGTTCAGATACTAATGCTTTGAAAGGCCTGTTCCAGCTTACGTCTGTTAGATACCCTTTCTGCATATTCTATTGCCTCGAGTTTGAAGGACATGTCGTAGTTTCGCCTTTTCTCACCTTTGTGTGATATAGCTGCATCGTGCGAACTGGACATTACAACCAAAGAAACCATACGTACTGAAGCTCTAGGAACTTCTATTTGATTTACTTTTATTGCATAATAACCAAGACCTTCCAAAGGTCAGTCTTATCAGATTTCGCGTTTGGTGGCCTGACACCGCGTGTACTCAGTGCATTCGTAATAGATACAACTCCATTTCACATCATACTTTTGCACTGGGATTGGCGCACGATAGATAATTTAACAGAAGATTATTAGTCTTGCTTGCGTAAGTATCGAGACTCTTAGTCTGCAACGCGTTTTTTGTCGTATTTGAGGTGACTCGACTGGATTTTTTAGGGGAAATACCTCCAAGTTTGAGCATAAACTACGTCAGCATGAATAAAGATATAGGAAAAAAGTTACCACAACTGTATTATATAAAGAAGAAAATTTCTTATGATTTCGGTTTTATTAAAATCGGAGTCGCCATGGCAACGTAACAACGCCATTACTTTTTTTACTTATTTTTTAGTTTCACTGTAACAGGAGTTTTCTTAAGAAATCGCTTAAGACAGTATGTACCTACCACAATTGCCTCAAACAGTCGACTCCCGATTGTTTTCCCTCCACCACCACAAGGTGGAGGGAAAACAATAGAAATGTGGTGGCAGTTGTGGTGGTGGTGGTGGTGGTGGAGGGAAAACAATAGAAATGTGGTGGCGGTGGTGGTGGTGTGGTGGTGGAGGAAAAACAATAGAAATGTGGTGGTGGTGGTAGTTTTACTATTCATGAAGCTGTGTTAAAAGAAGTTGAGAGTAGGGTCGGTGTGGGGTCGATGTAGGATCGATGTAGGTTTGATAGGAGGTCGATGTATTTGTGGATGGAAATATGGAATTTCCAGCGTTTGAGTGGATACGAATTAGCCGGAAATGAAATATTTCTGCGGCACGGGAACGGTGGGAACTGGGGCAGTTGAAGTGCAGTATGGGTAGAATGGAGCGCTATAAAAGGGATGCTTATCACGTTGGAAAGCATTCTAGGCCGACACATCGTCTAGCTCATGTTATTTTTTACTTTTGTCTTCCTTGTGACTTATTCTCAATCATAGCCAGTGTAGTGGGAAACCTATTCCAATAGTGCAGACGAGAACGCCACAAGCCAAACCGGGTTCCTGTTTTGCCTGTAATAAACCTGGACATTGGAGGGCCCAGTGTCCTTACACTGCAAAGTCAACCACCGGCCAATCACTAGCCGCCGGCGATCCAGAAAACGATCAATGGGTGAAATTAGGCGCTTCGGGTTTATATTAAGCTTTGTCCGCGACGGTTATAAAATTCCTTTCGTGACTCTTCCGCCCCCTAAAGTTATTCCTAACAATCACTCTGCTGTTACCCATAATCATTTTGTTTCTGAGGCTATTTCCGACCTGTTAAGAACTAAGTGTGTTGAGATTCTGGATCACAAGCCGGATATCGTTAATCCACTTTCTGTCTCCATTCAGCCTTCAGGCAAGAAGAGATTAATTCTTGATTTGAGGCATGTTAATCTGTATGTTTTTAAGCGTAAATTTAGATGCGAAGATGTATCGGTTGCCCTTCAAATTTTCTCTCAAGGGTTTTTTCTTTTCAAGTTCGACTTGAAGTCCAGTTATCATCACGTTGAAATTTTTCCCGATCACCGTAAATACTTAGCTTTCTCCTGGGATTTTGGCGATGGTGTTATGAAGTATTTTCAGTTCACAGTTTTACCTTTCGGGTTGTCTTCCGCACCGTATTTGTTCACAAAATTATTAAAGCCTATTCTTACTTCATGGAGGTGCAAAGGAATTCCCATGGCTATTTTTCTCGATGACGGCTTAGGGGGTGGTAGCAATTCTATCAAGGCCAAAATCAACAGTTTGACTGTTCGCGCTGATTTGACTAGGTACGGCTTTGTAATTAACGAAGAGAAGTCCCTTTGGGAGCCTGTTCAAGTTATTACCCGGCTCGGCACTGTTTTTGATACTTATCAAGGATTTATTTCGGTTACCGAGCGAAGGGTTTCAAAGCTAAAAGAGTAGCATTGATCTCTTACGTAAGGATGACTGTTAAATTTTCAAAGTTAGAGATGTAGCCTCTGTGGTAGGCTAAGTCATCTCGCTCACTCCTTGTGTTGGAAGTAGCCAGAATTATGACACATGCTTTGTACACAGTTGTAAATCAGAAACAGTCATGGAACTCTAAGGTTGAGTTGACTAAAGAAGCTTGTGATGAATTAACGTTTTGGATAGACAACGTCGACTCTCTTAATTTTCGTTGCCCCTGGTTGCCTTTTCAACCGCCTGCTAGATTTGTCTATTCTGACGCACCAGATTACGCTTGTAGTTCTTTTATTGAAAACGAGAATAAGATTTTTCATCAAAATTGGAGTGCTACAGAGGGTTCTCAAAGCTCTACTTGGAGAGAGCTTAGGACTGTAGACCTGGCACTTTCNTGTTCACAAAATTATTAAAGCCTATTCTTACTTCATGGAGGTGCAAAGGAATTCCCATGGCTATTTTTCTCGATGACGGCTTAGGGGGTGGTAGCAATTCTATCAAGGCCAAAATCAACAGTTTGACTGTTCGCGCTGATTTGACTAGGTACGGCTTTGTAATTAACGAAGAGAAGTCCCTTTGGGAGCCTGTTCAAGTTATTACCCGGCTCGGCACTGTTTTTGATACTTATCAAGGATTTATTTCGGTTACCGAGCGAAGGGTTTCAAAGCTAAAAGAGTAGCATTGATCTCTTACGTAAGGATGACTGTTAAATTTTCAAAGTTAGAGATGTAGCCTCTGTGGTAGGCTAAGTCATCTCGCTCACTCCTTGTGTTGGAAGTAGCCAGAATTATGACACATGCTTTGTACACAGTTGTAAATCAGAAACAGTCATGGAACTCTAAGGTTGAGTTGACTAAAGAAGCTTGTGATGAATTAACGTTTTGGATAGACAACGTCGACTCTCTTAATTTTCGTTGCCCCTGGTTGCCTTTTCAACCGCCTGCTAGATTTGTCTATTCTGACGCACCAGATTACGCTTGTAGTTCTTTTATTGAAAACGAGAATAAGATTTTTCATCAAAATTGGAGTGCTACAGAGGGTTCTCAAAGCTCTACTTGGAGAGAGCTTAGGACTGTAGACCTGGCACTTTCTGCCTTTGCTCTTGATCTTCAGGGCAAAAAAGTTGCTTAGTTTACTGACAACACTAGTGTTGTAAGCATCGTTCATAACGGTAGTAGGGTTGAGGAGCTTCAGTCTCTAGCGCTTTCTATTTTTCATGTTTGCGCGAGTTCAGTCATTTCCCTTGAAATGAAGTGGATCCCTAGGGATTCTTTGAGTAGAATAACGATTAATTTGACGATTACTCTATTAATGATGACGTGTTTCATATGTTGGATTGTAAATGGGGGCCCCACACAGTGGATAGGTTTGCCTGTAGTTACAACGCCAAGCTTTCGCGCCTTAATTCTAGATTTTACCAACCCGGCGCTGAAGCTGTGGACGCTCTCACCCAGAACTGGGAGGGAGAAAATATATGGGTCCATTCACTGGTATCGCAAATTAGTAGAGTTATTACTCATATGAGAGCGTGTAAGGCTGTAGGAACTTTAGTTATTCCTCTGTGGAAGTCGTCCTATTTTTGGATTTTACTATGTGATGATAGCAAACACTGGAACGCTTTTGTACATAATTGGGTGATTCTCCCCAAGTTCGGGCATCTTTTTATTAGAGGTAAAGCCAAGAATCACGTTTTTGGCTCAAAGGATTTGTCCTTTAGTGTAGTAGCTCTGCGTCTAAATTTTGTGCAACCTAGGGCGCAGTCTGTTTTGTGTTTTTGTCAGTCGAAGATGAAAATTTCTCACTTTGCAACAATTTTTATAATTAGGGTCTTTGGTACCCATCTTTGGAGAAGTCTTTGGGTACTTCCTTTATTCACGTTCTTTAGGAATGTCGTTTTTGAGCTGGTTCATGCGATTGCCTGCTCTCGTGATTGGAGTTTTCCTTTATTAATGATCGCATTGCTGGTTTGTCAGCTGCCTTTTGGTTCATCATTTTCAAGTGGTAGATTTATTTTTCTTGATTTACATTTATTATCCACACTTTAATGAGCCTGTTTAAGAATGCGTTCTGACCAAGGTGTTATAAATTAAAACGAGCCCATTGTTGCACACTCTTCTGGTTTGTTTTTTCTTTGTATTGTCCCTGATTGCTCTCCCCTTTTGTTTACAGATATTTTCAAAGAAGGTATATTTTTGGAAAGAAACCGAAACTTTTCAGGACCCATATCTGCAGAGCCTCACTTCAAGGCTTCAGACGTCTGTTTTGTCAGCAAGGGCTCCGGCCACCACAGATATGTATCATCGGGTGTTCAGGAAATCTTTTCTACCGGCAAAACCTGTTCATATAGCTATTTATTTACAGCATGTATAGAATCCACCAATTCCTCTAGCTCCGTCGATACTGCATTTTATGTTATTAAGTGGGCCCACGAGATCGTCGGTGTGGCGTCTCCTACTGATAATCAGGTAGTTTCTAGAGTTCGGGAAGCTGCTAAGAGAATTCTAGGGGTTGGGAGACCCAATAGGAAAGAGCCTTTATCAGTTGAAGTTCTCAAAGAAATAGGCTATTTTACAGTTATGGATGAAAGCGAGGGTGAGGGTGACCTTGTTTTGATACAAACCTTCTTTGCTTTGTTATGGAAACTGTTCTACTTGATTTACATAATGAAGCAGGAAGGTTTGTATCAAAACAGGCGCTTTGGTCAATTAGTGGAGTTAGCGCTATATAAATTATGTTATTATTATTATTATTATTATTATTATTATTATTATTATTATTATTATCACAAGGTCACCCACAGCCTCGCTTCCATCCAGAACTGTAAAATGGCCTATTGTGGAAGGGGCCGATTTATCCAATGTTCTACAGCTTAGAAACGTGTGTTTGTACATGTTATCCTTCGCGGGTTTTTTCAGATCTGAGGAGGTTCTTAATATTAATATGAGTAATATTCGTTTTTTTGAAGGGTTCATGATTATCAAAGTAGACAAAAGCAAGACTGATCAGTTCAGACAAGGTGACGAAGTGGTTATTGCTCAATCCGAAGGGAATGTTTGCCCGGTTTTCTTACTCAAAGAGTACTTGAAGAAATTAGATATCAGCCCTGACTCTAGTGAATTTATTTTTCGACCCCTCGTTAAAACTAAGTCGTCCTACAAATTAGTTAAAGTGGATAAGCATATCTCGTATGCAACTTTCAGGGCTCAGTAATCTGAAAGTCTGCAGAGCATAGTTCCGGATCCCTCTGTCTACGGGACTCACTCTTTCCGGTCCGGAGGAGCGTCGAGGGCTGCCAACAGCGGGGTTAGTGATAGAGTTTTTCAGAAGTATGGCAGATGGAAAAGTGTCACAGCTAAGGATGGTTATGTAAAAGACGACATGTCTTCACGTCTTGCAGTTTCGAAATCTTTGGGACTTTAGTTTGTTTTCTTTCCGGGGTTCAGTCAAGCCCTATATTTTTTCTTCTAGGTTGTTGTAACATGTATTGTTATATCTGCGGGCTCGGCCGAAACAGCCAAAATAAACCTAACGGTTTTTCTATTCATGTTGTACTGCGTAGTGGAGCCGAAATATGGAATTTCCGGCGTTTGAGTGGATACGAATTAGCCGGAAATGAAATATTTCTGCGGCACGGGAGGAGTGGGGACTGGGGTAGTTGAAGTGCAGTATGGGTAAAATGGAGCGCTATAAAACGGATGCTTTTCACGTGGCAAAGCATTCTAGGCCGACACCTCGTCTAGCTCATGTTTTTATTTATTTATTTATTTATTTATTTTAGTATATATTTGATTTACTAGTGGCAGTTCGATTTTTCCAGGGGTTTCTTAGCTTCTTTGCGTTTCCTTAAATTATTTAGAGTTTGCCGTCCTTTGTTGGAATACTTGTTTTGTAAATAAGGGCAAAGTCCTTCCAGCCGTGTAGCCTTCGTAGGATGGGCTTTTCAGAGCATGAGCCATGGATCCTACTTAGATTTCCTGCCGAGTTTTTTTCCTTACTGAGGTTTTTTTCCGGCAGGTTTTCTGGCCTCCGTTCTGACAGTATTCTGAGTAAACTGTTGCTCAGCTCTGTTCTAGTTCTTACACCACATATTTGAATGTAAGATGTTGTAAATTTGGTTTTGTTATATCTGCGGTGCTCGGCCAAAACAGCCAAAATAAACCTAATGGTTTTTCTATTCATGTTGTACTGCGTAGTGGAGCCGAAATATATATAGAATAAATGAGGAGGTGGAGGTGGAGGAGGGAAAATGATAAAAACTGTGTAGAGGGAGGAGGAGGGAAATATAATTGAAAAAGGAGAGGGGTAAGTAAAACATTGTGCGCAATGTAAAAAAAGGATGGCTTGACTTCTTTCACTATTTCAATAGAATCTATAACCTAATCTTTTTGCAATTATTTTAATAAAGGGTCATAAAGTTGATTTCTTGCGTCTTAAGAAACGTATCTGGTTTTATTGCAAACAATTATTAGTCGCGTGTTTCAATTGATCCTTGTCAAGTTATTATAATAATACGTCAACATGCTCCCTTGGGGTTTTTACTGCAGAGCTAATTTGTATGCTTGTGAACTCGCATAATTAACTGACTAACGGTGCGTGAAACGCCGAGACTTTAATAGTTTTTCATTTCCTCGAGATAGAGCGGAGAAAACGCTTCTGTAATAGTCAGACAAAATTGAAATAGAGAGTTTCAAGCTCCACTTTGAATACATGTGCGTGTGTTTTGTTTATAGTTTAATAGATCAAATGCAAATCTAAGGTAAGTCTATCAACATAACGAACTTAAATGATGCGTGAAAGTTTTAAACTTCGTGGCATAACATATTGTTCAAACAAAAGTATAAGTTACTTACAAAATACTCGAGGCGCTCGATTCGACTTGCATGTTTGGAGCAATTTAAAGAATATTGGTGATAGTAAGAATTTTTTCCAAGGACACTGACTTGCAAGAATAAAATGTTGAACGGAAGGCGCGTTTTTATTTTAAACACATAATAGATTCTACATGAGCCCATCAGGGTTAAAAGAGCCCGGGCAATTGTAGGCAAACCTATTGTTCCTACTGTGTTCTTCCAAAAGAAAAGAAACGACTATTCACTTTATTATATATGGAGGAAGGCACTAAATTAGTATGCAGGAAGACACTTATACATATTAATACGTTATTAATAAAGGAAAGGCATACGGAAGGCAAGGGAAGGCACCAACGGGTTAATTTTGTTGCAGAAGCATAACTACCGTCATCGTAGGGGGAGGGTCTCAATGGGGTCAACCGATAGGCGTAAAACGGCCAAATATTTAGTCGATAGCCGTAAAAATTGAAACATTTTAACGGTTAGCCGTAAATAGGGTAAAAAAGAGATAATCGTAAAAGAAATTGTTCCCTAGATTTGTTAATTTTAAGGAAGGTGATAAAATTCACTTATGGTTGCGTTTTTTATTTCCCGCCTACTTTAACTCCGTACGAACGTTAGGCCAAGCTCCTTTTAGGTGTTGGTTCCATTTCCGCTGCTCACTCGAAGAACCAAGTTTTTTCCATAGGGAAAATCTGGCTTCTTGCTGGGGATTAATATTTGTGATTTTAAGGAGATCGTGCCCTCGAAATACCAGTGAAACAACACGCAGAGACGTCACTGTTTGTAAAACACGTTGCTGATAAACAACAATTCCCTGTTTTACTCTGACGCTACGGTAGACATTGCCATGCCTAGTCCCTGTACGGCGTCTTGCTAAACAACATCTAGGTCAAGGCATTTAGGTGGGATACCTGAGGAAACAAAACTCGCTCGGACCACGTGACCCGGAATGCATTAGACGCGCGGAATAATGAGGCCTACGGACAAGTCACGGCAGACAGTCGTTCTGTACAGTCCTTTCGGTATCATTAAAAACACTGGACACGGGAATTTTATTGCTAGCCGTTTTCACACTAGAGCGAGAAAATGGATCATCCGTCTGAGACTAGCCTGTGTACAGTCGCCCCCTCCTCTACAGACACCCCTTTTCCGTTCTTTTCTGAGGGGAGGGGGCGGCTGTACACAGGCTATCTGGAACGGATAATCCATCTTCAAACTGTCCGTCAAAATTGGCGGATAAAGTCAGGCGGATTGTTCATTCAAAATTAAAACCATTCCATTTTCAAATTAAGACGTATTACCTATGTGACGCGAGTTATCAAACGGATAACCCGTCTCAAATGAATGATCCGTCTCTAGTATGAAAACGGCCATTTCTGTTATAAATGAATTCGCGCCCCGTCCTTGAGCTGAGCGTTCGCGTGTCTGTTTTTGCTTTTTCACAAAGATTATTTCTATATCGACTGTTGACATTTCTATATGAAAAATAATATTAGAAGTGGTATACTGTATGAAGTATGATCTATTAAATGTTAAAATTTGTCAAAAAAATAGTTTATTTCATCCCGAGATGATCCCAAGACCTTTATTTTGCTTTAAAGTTCGAAAAACATACAGGTTTATTAATATTTAATTCTTTGAAACAAAAGAAATTATTTTTTAACTTTTTTGTTAACCGTAACTGAAAAAACTTAACCGATAGCCGTAAAAGAGCCGAAATTTTATCCGATAACCGGCGTAAAAGCCACCACCCCATTGAGACACTCTAGGGAATCTTGAGTCTTTTTGAAATTACGAGGGATTCAGTATTTTAATTTCTCGAAAGTATTAGATGCAATTTAACGTATTACGAAGGAGAGAATTTTTCTGATTGTTCTTTCCATCACATTATTGAATTCGAAAATTTTAGGTTTTCCTTTTTTGCACGAAAAATAGCCTAACCTGGGGAGTGAAATGTGAAAAATTTAACTTCAGAAAATCGTAGGGAAGTTTAGAAAAGTTTTATTTGACGATGCTAATTTCCTGTTTTATTTCTTTAGTATTCAGATTTATATAATATTCATAATCCCTTGCTTTGACATATAGAATAGTCACAAATTTTGTCGCGCTCATCTGTCGAGCGTGTATTGACTGAGATGTTCGTCTGTCGAGTGTGCAAAGAGAAGCTCGCGTGTCGAGCGTATAAAGAGATGGATGCTCGTGTGTCGAGTGTGTAAAGAGATGCTCGTATGACGTGTTTAGCGTANTGACGCGAGTTATCAAACGGATAACCCGTCTCAAATGAATGATCCGTCTCTAGTATGAAAACGGCCATTTCTGTTATAAATGAATTCGCGCCCCGTCCTTGAGCTGAGCGTTCGCGTGTCTGTTTTTGCTTTTTCACAAAGATTATTTCTATATCGACTGTTGACATTTCTATATGAAAAATAATATTAGAAGTGGTATACTGTATGAAGTATGATCTATTAAATGTTAAAATTTGTCAAAAAAATAGTTTATTTCATCCCGAGATGATCCCAAGACCTTTATTTTGCTTTAAAGTTCGAAAAACATACAGGTTTATTAATATTTAATTCTTTGAAACAAAAGAAATTATTTTTTAACTTTTTTGTTAACCGTAACTGAAAAAACTTAACCGATAGCCGTAAAAGAGCCGAAATTTTATCCGATAACCGGCGTAAAAGCCACCACCCCATTGAGACACTCTAGGGAATCTTGAGTCTTTTTGAAATTACGAGGGATTCAGTATTTTAATTTCTCGAAAGTATTAGATGCAATTTAACGTATTACGAAGGAGAGAATTTTTCTGATTGTTCTTTCCATCACATTATTGAATTCGAAAATTTTAGGTTTTCCTTTTTTGCACGAAAAATAGCCTAACCTGGGGAGTGAAATGTGAAAAATTTAACTTCAGAAAATCGTAGGGAAGTTTAGAAAAGTTTTATTTGACGATGCTAATTTCCTGTTTTATTTCTTTAGTATTCAGATTTATATAATATTCATAATCCCTTGCTTTGACATATAGAATAGTCACAAATTTTGTCGCGCTCATCTGTCGAGCGTGTATTGACTGAGATGTTCGTCTGTCGAGTGTGCAAAGAGAAGCTCGCGTGTCGAGCGTATAAAGAGATGGATGCTCGTGTGTCGAGTGTGTAAAGAGATGCTCGTATGACGTGTTTAGCGTAAGTTTTGTTCGGGTGTCGAGTGTTGTTAATGCTCGCGTGTCGAGCATCAGAGTTGCTAGTGTCGAGTGTAAGAGATGCGAATAATCACGTTTATCTCATGCCTTTGCATATTTGGAATAAC